TGAACACGGCTTCACACTCGGGGTGGCGCATGCCACAATTAGGCTCACATGTCGCGCTGCCCGCTGGCCAGCCAGCCAGCCACTCATGCAGCCAGCCAGCCAGCCAGCCAGCCAGTCAGTCAGGGCCACGCAGGTCGTTGTCCTTGACTGCTGTAGGTCCACCTACGCTCGACGCGCCAAACAAAAGGTGGCGTTTTAAAAAAACGGCGGCAAAAAAGGAGAGAATGGCTGGTCGCCTGCAAAATCGGTCGTTTTTGCTCTGGTCGCGACGCTTCCTCTTGGTTTTCTGGGGAATCTGTGGCCGTTCTGTTGTTCTCATTTTGTTTCAGGACACTTTTAAACAAATGTGTTTTAAAACATGTGCGTTCGTTAAATCTGGTTAAATCGATCCCCAGGAGGCAGAGCAATGGAGAGTAGTATAGTGTCGACTCGTCGAATAAAGTATACAATGCTCTCCTGCTCGGCAGATTTTCGAGAGCGATCGACGTGGCGTTGGGTTTCGCCTTATCCCCGAGCGAGATCTCGAATCGCCGTGAAACGCCGTCCTGCAGAGGGCGCTGTCTGTCGCTGCTGTCGCTCCGCGAGGTGTTCCTGGAGACAACCGTCCGTCCCTCCGTCCGATGAACCCTTCACCCGAAGACTCGGCCCAGCCCGGGGTCAGCGGGGAGCCAGCACAGCAAAAAAAAAAAATCAACTGCAGTTTTTGACGGAGCTCCACGGTGTCGGTCCCTCAAAGTCACTAAAAGTCACTGAAGTACTTGCAGAGATTCAAATCACTTTTTGCAAACAAGCTTGGCGTGCTGGCCAAGCGGCACGTTTGGAGGTTCATGTGCACAGCTGCTCACGTTTTTCAATCGCAATTGCATTGATAACTGTCTCGCTGGCCGTCTAACGACGTGCAGTACTCCCTGCTAGTTTTACGTGATTTTTACTCAAAATGGAAAAAGACGTTTTCGCCACCGACTGAGCCTGTCTCTTATTTTCTCAGCTTGCCTCACCGGCGATCCTTTGGATCGTCAGACTGGACAGGACTCTACACTGCGTTTCCCACACGACGTCCGCCGTGCCGCCGCCCCTCGGCGACGACCACCCTCGCCTTCCGTCCGAGCGACTACTACCCTACCCCTTCTTTCCCGCATGTCACAGTGTACCTGCATCGAACCCCCATTTATGCACCGCACAGGTATGTTTACCCTCAGCCCTCTGAAACGCACGGCGCGGCGGGAGGACGGACGTGGCGGTCGACGGGGAGGTGCTTTCCGCGGCCCCGGACACGACAATGACGAGGCGATACGTATCCCGGTCGAATCCCATATGCAAGCCGACATGCTAACAACTGCGGCCGTTCAGGGCAGTCAGGGCCCACAAAAGGGTTATTCTGCGCGTCCGGCTGCCCGGCACGCACACGCACACACACACGCACGCACACAGATGGGGGCCCCGATGCGGGGGCGTCCAGGTACATCCATAGTACTGCCCCGACCCGCGGCCGGAGATACGTCCATGCACGCGGAGGCCTACTAGTGTGCGTGTCTGTGTGTGTGCGCGAGTCCGGCAGTCCGATCTGCGATAGTAAGCCGAGCCGGGGCGAGCACCCACACCACTGTAAGCGGGCAGCCGGTCGAATAATGGCGCGGAACACCGGCAGCCTTCGAAACGCAAAGAGCGACCCCCTTCGTGGCGTTTAATCCGGCGTGAGGCGATAGATGACCGTGAGAAAGTCGGAAAAACAGTTTTTGCAAAAAGGTCGATAATTTGACGCGACGCCGTGCAGTGACGCGACGCCGCGGTGCTGGCGGTGGCAAGCGAGACAGGCTGTCTGCTGAGCGACAGCGGGGAGTGCGAGGCGCGGCGCACAGGTGGACGAGGTGGACGCGGAGGGAGTCACTCAGGACGTCAAGAAGTCCGTCCAGACGCAGCGGCCGGTCACTGACCCTCCAGCTGCGCGACCCAATGGAAGCCCAGCCTGAGGCCCTCTGGGACTGCGGACCTGCGGACGGTGGGGCACCCCCGGCTCAGCGCAGTACGCGCGAACTGGGGAAGGGCCCACGCCGAGGCCCCGGCCGTCCTGGACCCTCGAACAGTCGCTCTGTCTCTCTCGCACCGCGACGGCACGCCCCACGAGTGCGAGAGAGACAGAGAGGAGGCTGCCGGTGGCAGTGTGGCGTGGATTAGCCGCGCACCAGCACCGATGCATGGTCGTACCTTACTCTTCCATCAGCCCTCCAGAAATGAGTTTTTGAGAAAGAGAGAGAGCGTCGTGGACGCTCAGGCTCGTTACAGTGCAGTGGCGGTTGCGGACTTTTGACGTCCACACAAAAAACTCACGAAAAAAACATGATGACAGAGCTCTGAGAACCACATAACCGATAGGGCTCTGGGATCCAATAACGGCAGAGCTCTGGGAACCAAGTAACGACAGAGCTCTGGGTAAGTCGTGCGTTTCGAACTTATGATTCTAGTAAAGAAGCGATCCCGCTCTTTCAAAAATTTTAGCGTTGTCATGTTGGGCCCCACGAAGTCCCGGACTGGTCTAAAAGGCATGCCGTTTGCCGCTTGCTTTGCAGCTTTTACAGTGTCGGAGAAAGGATTGTCGAGTTGTCTCGTCATCCTCCCTTCGGGCTCCCTTCGGGGTGGCTGACCGCGCTGGCCGCGGACCGGACTCACCCGTGTGGCTGTAAGCCCCAGCCTGCCTGCCTTGGCCCGGCTGCGTACCTGTGTGCAGTGTGCAGGTTAAACCCATCAGCCCCTCCTTCTCCTTCGGAGAGCGAACCCGCCTCTGTCTCTCTCGCACCCCTACGCGACGCGGCCGGCGCCCCGCGAGTGCGAGAGAGACAGAGAGCGGGACCCAGAAGAGGTGACGCTCGGGATTTCGCGGAGCACGGCGGGCGGGAAGGAGCGTCGGACGGGAAAGGGGGAAACCACGCTCCGAGCGTTCCGAGAGTCTCGCTCTGTCTCTCTCGCACCTACACGGCACGCCGCCTGAGTGCGAGGGAGACAGAGCGACGAAAACGACTCTCGGGATCGGTGTCCTGGTGCTTGCTGCTCGCGGGGGCCGCCAGTAAATGGCGAAGGAGTAAAAGCCCGGCCTACGCGCCCTCTCCCCCTTTCGCCCCTCGGGCGCGCGGGCCGCCCTGGCCGCCCTGGGCGCCGGGCCGCGCGGAGTGGGGTGTAACGGTGTAACGAACGAAGACGCGGGGCTGTTATGAGCGGCAAAACAGTGGAGGGGCATAACGACGGGCAAGCGCGGCAAGGCAAGGCGAGCCGGGCGGGGAAGGCGGGGTGGCGTCGGGGAGGGGCGCAAAGGGGTGGCGCCTCAACGGGTTACGATCGATGGCCTTCCCTCTGAGGGCCTCTCCCCTCTCCCTCGCACTCACGGCACTCCCGGGCCGCGCCCGGCCGCGCCGCCTGGGAGCGAGAGAGACGGAGCGACGCGGGTTCCTGGTTGGGAGGCGGCCCGCAGCCCGCTCCGACGAGGGCGAGGGCCCGCCCGGTGTGGCTCAAGCGCACAGCGCGCGTTTTTTTGGCCGAAAAACACGGTGTTTGGTCGCCACCGCGGCCGGGAGTCGAACCCGCGGCCGCGCGGTTGTTTTGGCCTGGTTTTGGCATGGCACACCGTCTCCGCCACCTGTGGGCCGCCAGGTGGCGCAGTCAGGCGCGGCCACCGAGTGCCACGACGCGACCGAAGCGACCTAACCAGCTGCCGCACGATCTGCCCGTAAAACGGCCCGTCGATGAGGCACTGTGCGTCAGCAGTATCCCTCGCTCGGGTTTAGCCAGATAGGGACGGAGCGGCGGCACGTGTCGCCCGAGAAATCGTGACCCGGGCCGGCCGGCAAACCTACTAAATTACCAGGTGGACAAGCAGGTGCTGAAAGTAGTTGCCACGGCGGTGGCTGGCCACGAGAGCGGTAGATTGGCCGCGAAGGGTCGCCGCCGTGACGCCGTCTCTCTCGCACTCACGGACAGGCTGGCCCTGGCCCTGGCCCTGGCCCCGGCCCGCGCCTCTGCAGGCGCCGAGTACTACGGGTGGTTGGGTGGTTTCGCTGGTTCAAGACTGGCAGGACTACCATCAACGGCTCCGTCCAGGCAGCCGTTCGAAGTCGCTCTCGGGTGAGCGGTGGGGGTGGGAAGGGGCGAAAGCATCCCCAAATTGTCTCCACCGTAATCGTCGTCCGGCCGGCCAGACGGGGCCTCCATTGCGTGCGTCCACTGCCGTCCGACCGCCGCATCGACCACTACACTCATATTCCAGACGCGTGTTCCGGCCATCCTCCACTCGGCCCGCTCGGTCCAATCATGGTTTCTGTTCGTACCGCTCGCGGAGGGCTCTGGATTTCGCGGGGCCTCCGGGGTCCCTTCGCTAACGAGACGTGGCCGACGACCAGGCCGACGGCCCCGGCGAATCCGCGCAAACGGCTGCAAATGCAATTGGGAGCCGGCCGGGGCGTCCACCGGGACGACCGGGAAGGAGCCGCGCCGCGCCGGCCGCGCCCCCACATGCCTGGCGCCGCGCGCCGCCGCGCCGCCGCACCGCCATCGCGGCCCTGCCCTTGAGGCCCTTGAGGCGCCCTAGACACCACACACTCCGCCGCCCTACGCCCTACGCGCGCCCGCGTGTGTGTGCGTGTGTGGGAGGCGACGTGTAAGTTGCCGTAGGTTAGGAGAACATGAATCGGCCAAGACCACCCCCTCCCCGGGCGCGGCGGGGCGGGGCGGGGCGCGGCGGGGCGGGGCGGGCCGGTGGGAGGAGCCAAGCGGGCCAGGCTTGTGCCGCCACTACACTGCCGCCGCCGCAGCACGGCGCGCTCTGCCTGGAGGTCCGCGCCACACGCCACCGCCACTGGCCGCGCTCGCGCCGCGCTCCCTCAGTCCCTCGCTCGCCACCGGAGGGGAAGGTCGTCAACGCGCTGCCTCCTCGCCGGCCGAACATGCCTCAGTGGAGTACGTGAACGGAACGCGGAGGCGCGACGAGTCGCCGACATCGCATACAGTGTCGTTTCGTCAGTGCCAGTGCAAGTGAAGCCAATAAGCGACGCAGCCAGCCACTGGATAACCCAACACCTCGGCGCCGACGCCAGCCAGCAGCGCAGCCAGCGGTGCCGCCGTCTTGGAGGCCCCCGCGATGGCCCTGTCGCTGTACCAGGACGCGTCGCCCACTACCGGTTAGTACCTGGACACTCCACGTCGGCCACCTCCGCCGCGGCCCAGTGTCTCTAGCGGCGGCCCCAGCGAGTGCGACACAGTGCTGAGGGCCTTCTCGGACTCGGACAGGACATCGTCGTCCTGCCGAACTCCGCCGAGAAGTTGGCGGCCGTGCACTTCCCTCGGACCGTGCCAGTGCCAGGCGTGCGCGACGGCGGCGCCTGACTCGGTCCCAATCAAACTCAGCTGACTCGGCGAAACTCTGCGTTGCACTGCACCTGTCACTCTGTCACCGGTAGCTGGCAGTGTGTGGGTGTCTGTGTGTGTGTGGGTGTGTGAGTCGTGACAGTCAGGCGTCGTCGCGCTGCTCTGCCGAGTCCGGCGTGGCTTTCAGCCAGTCTGTGCTTCGGTGAAGCGTGACTTTCAACACCGACGACGGTATCACCGCCAACGGATACCTGCGGGGAAAGTAAAATGGTAACGTGCGCCTCGATCGTTGCCAAGCGTAAAGCAACTGCGCCGCGTCCGATTAGGATCCAAGCTGGCCTTCCTGGTGTCAGTATCAAATTGAAAGCAACTTTGCATGTCTGGGCGCGCCGAGGTGTCTTACGGCTCTGGACACGATTTCAACCCGACTGGCGGCATTTTGGCACCTCGGCACCGAGGTGCGAATGTTTGCTGCGCTGGTGTGATTGCGTAAGTCGGCGTCAGAGGGCGGCACTGTCTGGCCAGTCCGTCCCCGGCAGTGAGTGTCCGTGCACCGTCCGCCCCTCGCCGCCCCTCGCCGCCCCTCGCCGCCCCTCGCCGCCCCTCGCCGCCCCTCGCCGCCCCTCGCCGCCCGCGGGCAGGGGAGCTTCCCTCGCCGGCCGGCCGCCCCCGTCCAGCATCGCTGCCCCGCCGCACCGCCGTCTAGACTGGTAGACTTTGCCTTTCCTCGAGGTGGCTTCCCTCTCTGGGTGCGAGAGAGACAGACCGACGGGACCCGCCGTCGGGCCGTGTTTGCGGACTCTCTGTCTCTGTCGCACCCCTGCGCGACGCTGGCAGCGCCCCACGAGTGCGACAGAGACAGAGCGACTGGAAGCCGCGGCCCCGGGGCGATCCCGGGGCATCTGCTCCGCCGCCGTTTCGGTTTCCACGTTCGGCCGCCGCTTTCCGCGCGGTTCCTCGCAAATACCTCTTTCCTTTGTCGCCGTGCTGGGCACTCGAACCCCCCGTGCGCGCTTTGCAGCCCCGTGGTTGTTTCTTCAAGCCACAGTGTCACGGGGACTCGCCGCCCGGGAGGTAGGCAGCCCAACCGACGGGCTGCCTGAGCCACCCTCCGCCAGAGGGCAGCACCGCGCTGGCGCTGCCTAGCGCTGCCGGCCGAGCGCCTGTCTTGCAACGCAGCTCAGGGCGCTCTGCTTCTGCACTTCCTGTCGCGGAAATTCGTCGGCGGGGCGCGGTGGCGGATCGCCATTCTTGTGCCAGACGTAAACATGTTGTGCCCGCCCGTTTGGCGTGCTGGCGTGCTGGCGTGCTCGAGTCTGGACCATCTGGCCATCTGCCTGGAGGCTGCGGGGGCCGAGGCGAGGCCGAGGCGGATGGACGAGCCCCAGGGCCCGCGGCACCGTGTGTCGCAGTCGCAGTCTCGGTGGCGGCATGCACCAAGCCCGCATCGGGGCCCCGAGCATTCCTTGCTGACCGCCCCACCCCACCCCGCCCCGCCCCGCCCGGCGCTCGTCTCTATAGCCCGCGTTTCATCTCTGGGATGCCGGCTGGAAGATGGAAGCTGGAATCATCGAAATACCCGTCCCCTCGAGCCGCGCACCCCACCCCACCCCGCCCCGCCCCGCCGGACGTAGCCCGGGGCGGTGAGCAGTCAGGCCGTGTTCGCGGAGCTCGGAGCCGTCTGGGTCTGGGTCTGGGGGCACGCCGATGTCGATGCGACCCGCGACGACGGGCTGCCTCGTGACCAAGCTCGTGACCGTCGCGTTCCTGGACCCGCGGCCGCCCGCGGCCAGCGGCACCCTGGGCCGGCGACAGACCCCGAGGGCGCACCGGGGCGAGGATGGCCAGGGCGGCGGCGGGGCACGGGGCAGACGGGTCGGTCCCCGTCAACCCAATGCCAATGTCGCGCCGTCGCCCCGCGAGGAGCGGTACTGCACTGCAACGCGCCGGAACCCGCAAGATCGAAATCGGGGCGGTAAAGAAATCTTTGGAATGGTCTGTTCGGTGCTGCGATGCCACTCCGGCCATGGTCGATTGATTGCGGAGTATTCGCCGAACCGTATCACACTGGAACCATACCAGTGCGATGGGAATTCAATTTCGAAGCGTAGCACCGAGAACGATCAAACGGCCTACATCCGCGCTGGGCTTGTTTCAATCGGCCATGTATTCTTGTTGTTCTGGTGCAGATGCAACTTGAAATTTCAACGCCATGGGTGCTTGGTACAGTCGCTTCCAAGGCAGCGGAGTCTGTTCGTCACCTCCAAAACTTGTCGGCCCATTCATTGGCCGGGCGAGGCGGCCGTGACCGTCGCATCGGGGTGCAGTCCAAATACTTGCCCGCAAACACAACCCGTCGCTTATCGCCACAAATTACCCGCAGTCTGGGTTTGCCGTTTGCCAGGGAGATAAGCCAGTCTGGTCGGGGTGCGCGGCGCGGTGTGCCCCACCCCGCCCGAGGCCCCGCGCCCCGCGCCCCGCCACTGGAACGTGCGCCGGGGATGGCCACGGCACGTGCCCGGAGCACGGCGGGGAGTACGTCGTGCAGGTGAGGCGCCCCGCGGCCCCACTACACTGCCCCGCGGTGGACGCGGTCACAGGGCGCTGTGGCTAGTGTGCCTACGCCCTTGGCTACGCCCCACCCCGCGACCCCGTCAGTCAATCTTCATTCAAAACGGCGTCCACGTCCACGGCGTCGTTGTCGTCCAGGGCTGCGGAGGCGCCGCCTGCAGGCCGGTCCCAAACGGTCGCTCTGTCTCTCTCGCACTCACGCGGCGTGCCGTAGAGCGACGAAGTACGCCGCCTGCTCCATAATGCATCGGCTTGGCTCTGTGCGGCTGCTGGCTTCTCGCTTTCGGTCGCTCTGTCTGTCTCGCACTCGCGTGGCGTTCCGAAGGGGCGCGAGAGAGACAGAGCGAAATTACGACGGGGCGCTTTGAATGGAGCCGAGCGGTATAAAGGTGTCGGCTGCGGTCCACGGGCAATGTCAGCCGATGGCAAGCATGGAAACGGAAAGTGTCGCTAATCAGCGCCGTCTCGTCTGGACATTGTGTGCCCGCCGGGGACCTGCACCGTTATTACGTAACGTCGCTCTGTCTCTCTCGCACCGGCGGGAGGGGCCGTGGAGGTGCGAGAGAGACAGACCGATCGCGGCGTTCGCGGCCGAAAAGAGGCCGGACCCTCGCCGCGACGGCCATCTTGGCCAGCCGGTCGACTCCTACGCCACCGGATGCGGACGTGTGTGTGCGCAGGGAAGGGGGAGTGTAGTGGAGTGTCGCGGGCCGGCCGGTCGAGGCCGTGGGCCAGCCGGCAAGCTTGCCGCATTTCTGGAGCGACCCCAGCGCGCTCCCTCCCCTCCCCTTTTCCACCCCGGGCGAGTTTTTCGGCAAAACGAGGAAAAAGCTGCAGCGGTCTGTCCGGACCGGAGGGTCGACTGTCGGCCGAGGGGAGCGTGCCTGCCGGCCTCGCACAGTGTGCCTGCACGACGCCGCGCCGCGCGGCCTCCGCTTTTGTGGAAGTCTGTGGAACTGCGTAACTGAACGATCACGTCCTCCTATCCCCTATGAGTGGGCTGGCGGAGCGCGGAGCGGAGCCTAGAACTTTGCCGCGCTGGGCTGGGCCGGGCTGGGCTACACACACGCGGCCACGGCGCCGTGTGTGGAGGCCGCCCCGCCGCCGGCTACTCGGCGGGGTCGGCAACCCGGCCCACACGCGTGGCCACGCGTTGCATATGTCTTGGACCAACAGGTGAACTTGTTGGCGGCATGGCCGCAACGCCCCGCCACTACGACGCCCCGCCCCGCTAGCGTCAGCCCCGCCGTGGTGGGGGGCCTAGGGGGCCCGGCCCGGCCGCCGCGCTGCACGTACGCGCCCCCACTGCACGGCCCCGGCGCCTCGGCCTGGGCCTGGGCCCCCTCCACGGCCGCGACGCCCCCGGCGCGCTCGCCTGGGATTTCGCTGGGCTTGGCTGGCTTGGCGCGGCGCGACGCCATGGAGAATAGAGGGGATGGAGGATCGGCTGCGAGTCAGAAATGAACTGCCGGCCGCGTCCGGGGGTTGGGAGTACGCCGCCCGGCCACCACGCGGCGCTGCGATCGCTATGCCTCCACTCTGGGTTGGTTCCAGCCGGGTCCTTAGGGAAGACTCATGTAAACCAGCGTGGAATGGCTGCATTTTTAAGGTTTATCAGAGTATATCCCCGTTTTGTCCCAGTTAATATGAGTAGAATTACGGAAAATAACAATATGGGAACAATATAAGTGCAATATTGTGCCACGTAAGTTGGATATTCCTGCATTGAAGTCAGCGGCTCTCAGCGTGCATGCAATTACAGAAAGCTTTTGGCCTCACAAATTCGGGAAGTTTAAAGATATATTATTGAACAAAGTAAAATTTCAGATACATCACCAAAGTAATAATTTAACATGTTTTCACTTTTGTGGTGACTATTTACACTTATGGTTTATCAAAATATTTCTGTGCAGATAGCTATCTATTCCACCAAAAAAAATTGTTTGACTATGATGGAATGGCCTTCTATCAGTTGAAATCAGACCACCAGTTTGAACCCTGAACTCTCAATCATTCATAAGTTATAAAGGTTTACGCAACAACCTATTTTTTGCGTAAATATGCATAACTCAAGAACGAATCTGAATTCTGGCTTTAAACGGCTAGTCTAAGCTCTTCTATGAGTGGCCTAATTTTGCACATGTAATCAAGCCCTCTGATGGCAATCATAATAATAAAAGATGTTACACTACTTTATTTTAAATATTTTTGAGAATAGGGTCCTGGTGAAAGTGAAGCGTTGGTATAAATTGACTTAGCTTGCTCTTCCGCTAAACAGCCTATTTATCCTCCAGTTATATCACATCCAATCTGGAGTTTTCCAAGAGAATCAAAGGAAGAGAAGTCTGCAAGTTCTAAGTAAAACTTTGGTTGAGAGTACTAATATTGTCTTATCAGCCCAAAAAACACCTCACCAGATCATGTTCCAGTTTGTGTATGTTTGCATTGGTAATAGTGAGGTACTAATATAGTTTTAAATTGAAGTGCATCCTGATTTAATCTCATCAATAAGTTTGCCCAAAAAATTCAGTCAAATACTTTGTCCAATTTCTTGCATCAGAGATCCCATGCACTTGGCCACAAGACAATGAGGCTTTATCATGAAGAAACTTACATTGTACGCTGGAAAAGTATATTCGGCCTTGTCCCTGGACCTTTTCGGAGCCCATATAAAATGTTAACTTAAAGTGACATTCCAAAAAGGGGTCGATTTCGGACAATTTGGTGAGTAAAGATAGTGGTCAGAAGGCTCTACGCTGTGCTGTGGCGCGGCAAAGTGGAGGCATAGCGATCGCAGCGCCGCGTGGTGGCCGCGCGGCGTACTCCCAAACCCCGGACGCGGCCGGCAGTCCAAAACGCAGGCGCCAGGCGGCCCAGCCGGTCCTCCATCCCCTCTATTCTCCATGGCGACGCGGCTCGCCCCCCGCCGTCTGACGACCCCAACGACTTGGCCGAAGCCCAAACGAGGCTCGCTTGTTCGGCTTGTTCCGCCCCGTGACGTGTCCGCCGTGTCTGACCCGCTTTCCCGTCTGTGTTGCAGGATCCATGAAGCCCGAGAGCCCCCTGCAGTTCAGCCTGGGCCTGGGGTCGCCGCCTGGCGCTGCGCTCAGCAGCCTGGCCTCCCTGCCCGGCGGCCTGTCCAGCAGCCTGTCCACCAGCCTGTCCACCAGCCTCACCAACAGCCTCACCAACAGCCTGACCAACAGCCTGGCGCAGGGCCTGCACCCCCTACTGGCCGCCCAGTCCTCGCTCATGTCGCTGGGGCTGCCCGGACTTCCCCAGGGACTCCCCCAGGGCCTGCCGCAGGGCCTCCCACAGGGACTGCCGCCCGGCCTGCTGGCCGCGGGGCTGTTCCCGCCGCTGTTTGGTTGGCCCGCGTCCCCGCAGTCGCCGCCTCCCAGCAACAACAACAACAACACGATGAAGGCGGCCAGCCGGAAGCGGCCCCTCAACAACAACAACAGCAGCACCAACAACAACAACGAGGTGTCGAGCACGAGTTCCATCAAGAGGGCGGCCGCGGCGCGTCGGAGGCCGCAGCCCAGGGCGTCGCCCGTGTCCCCCGACGCCGTGTCCGTGCCGCCACCACCGCCGCCGCCGTTGTCGCCGCCCACGTCGGGGTCCTCGCCGCCCAGCAGCGGCGGCAGCGCGGCCGGCGACGTCAAGGCTGACCAGGTCCTGGGCCGCGACAAGGTGTTCACCTGCCTGGTGTGCAACCGCTCCTTCGGCTACAAGCACGTCCTGCAGAACCACGAGCGCACGCACACGGGCGAGAAGCCGTTTGAGTGCGCGCAGTGCCACAAGCGCTTCACCCGGGACCACCACCTCAAGACGCACATGCGGCTGCACACGGGCGAAAAGCCCTACCACTGCTCGCACTGCGACCGCCAGTTCGTCCAGGTGGCCAACCTGCGGCGGCACCTCCGCGTGCACACGGGCGAAAAGCCGTACGCGTGCGAGATGTGCAGCTCGCGCTTCTCCGACTCGAACCAGCTCAAGGCCCACGTGCTGATCCACAAGGGCGAGAAGCCGTTTTCCTGCGACCAGTGCGGCGGCCGGTTCCGCCGCCGCCACCACCTGGAGCACCACAAGTGCCTCGGCAACGCGGCCGGTGACCTGGCGTCCTCGCTGCCCGGCACGCCGCCGCCGCCGCTGCCCGCCGTGGCCGCGGTGGCCCCCGCCAACCTCCGCAGCCACTTCCTGGAGGACGACGAGGACCCCATCTTCGGCGCGCACCTGACGCCGCCCAGCAGCGCGCGGAAGGGCCCCCGCCAGCACCGGGCCGCGGGCAGGCAGGCCGCCGGGCGCGCGGGGCCCCTGCGGCTGCCCGTCCCGCGAGGCTCGCCCGTCGACCTCCCCGAGCAGACTGAGCCCGAGGACCTGTCCGTGCGGAGGGACATCCCCCTGATGCACATGCAGAGCATGCACACCATGCACGGCCTGCACAGCCACCGCGAGACCAGCCGGAGCCCTGCCACCACCAGCCTCGCCGCCAGCAGCCCGCCGCCCTGGTCCGTGGACTCGGCGGGCCACGACGCCGTGGACTTCGACGACGAGGAGGAGGAGGAGGACGACGACCTGGTGGACGCCTCCTTCTTGAACCAGCAGCACCTCAAGCGACATTCCAGTCCCCATAGCATGAGCTAGTTTGCCTGTGAGATTCCCCTTATTTTTCCCCTTCCCCTTCCCCTATGTTTGACAAGTAGAAACTACTCTAAGATCGATTTTTTTTGGCATCTGTCGCCATGCTCCTCTACCTTTTTTAGTTTTATTATTTTGGTCTTGTTGACCGCTCACGACTACGGGTAAATGCCTTCTGGCATCAGTCACTTAGTTTTTAAGTTTATGTGTAATGCCTTTGTTGTTGTAAGAATAGGTATTATCTGTTTCCAAGTTAGATTTACTACAATGAGGTGCACTCATTATTGTTTTCATTGGTTAATTTTTATTATTATGATGATTATTATTATTGCTATATGATTACCCTCATTATGTTCTGGTTCATGTTCCTGTACTGTTTCTCGTGCCATATCGGTGTGATGGTTCAGTTCGTCCTGCGGGGAATTAGGACCGATTTATTATTATTATTACCATTTTCGTCGCCCGTTTATTGTTTGTCGTGTTTTATTGTGAATTGTCATGAAATTTTACTCTTCTCTTTGTGCTCTTTGTGTCTTGTTTGTTGAACAGTGATATTAGTGGTAGTAGTCTAATGATATGTGAATTTTTTTTCGGTGATCTTACACTGATTGGACATTTGCGAGGCTTCGGTGATGTGGCGTGGCGTGGTGTAGTAGGGTCCACTGCTGGTAAGACTGACTAGCGTTCCAAGCAGGGTCTCAGTATAGAATGGGGTAATGTGGAGAATTCAATGCCAAAATATATGATTTCATCTCCTCGTGTCAAGACTTCACCTGCGGGAAACAAATCTGAGGATACATACTATAGTGTTGCAATTTATATCACAAAGAAATGGTAAATAAAAATATATGTTCAGCAAAATCAAAGTGGTCTATCCATCCATTATTTTCAACTTCACAACCTCAAAAAAATGAGCAAAAGTTCAAAAATCAAACCAAAATCTACAAAAAAGTAGAAAATGGTACACTCACAAAAAGAGGGAGAAATAAATAGTCCAAAACTGGACAAGCGGCTGTTTACAGGCTGTCGAAATAAATGATGAGAACGTATCAATAAAGGATTATCGAGAATAATGAGTGAGCAGCCAGCTCGGAGCACCACCGGGGCGAATCCGTCACCACAAACACACACACACACACACATGAATGGCCAAACCCTTCCCTCCCCGCTTTCATCCCGGCCGCTGATGGCGAAGCGATCACTCGCCAATTACAACGGCAAACACACACAAACGCTGTGGCAAGTGAGGAAGACACGCCGATGCCTTTTTTACCCCTTTTCTTCTCATATTTTTTTTATCGCCACTACTGCTAAATTGTCCGTGTGTGGCGTTGTCCCCCTCTAACCCTATCATCAACCCTTCCGTGTGTGAGCGCGTGCGTGCGTGTGTGAGTGAGAGAGCGCGCGTGTGTGCGGTCGGTGCATCCCTTGCTCGCGTGGAAGGATGGGAAGGGGTGAGGAAGGGTTGGGGATGTTTACCAAGGGAGGCTCTGCGCCGCTCTGCGCGCTCCGCTCCGTTCCGGACCGCGGCAACAGGCAGCACATTGTCCCTACCCCCACCACGCCACGCTCCACTCGCGCGGCCGCGGCATGTGTGTAGGTTTGTGTGAGTACGTGTGTGACAGACTGGCACGACAGGTGACCTGCCTTCACGTACTGTATCACTGTCTCACACACACACTATAAGCTCCCACCGTGTGCTCCCACAGTGGAGCGGCCGGCAGCCGGCTGAACACTGACTGAAGTGACTGAGCCGCCAGTCGGCAGGCGACGGATGTCGACCGAAGCCCAGACGACGGCGCGTCTGTGCTGCAGCAGTAGCAGCTCTGCCAGTGTAGCGGGCCACTGCTGCCGCAGCCGCACAGCTCTGTCAGTCACTGCCGACTGCCGGCTCAGTCGCGTCAGTCAGTCGACTCGGCCGCAAGTCCGAACACTGCGAGACGCGCAAAGAAGTTTCACATCCCTTCCTTTGCGCGCGAGTGTGTGCGCGACTTGCGTGCTGTAGCGAACACGTAGTGAACCCCCGCCGTGGAGGCAGGCAACCCAACGCGCTGCCGCTCTCGAACGAAGGTAGGGCCTCTCGCCGTGGAACTCTTCTACCGATCAGATCAAAAAATTCCCGCGGTGCGCTGCTCTTTTCGGATAGCCGTCCCGGCGTGTCGTGGACGGATAGCTATCGACTCGAGTTCTCGAAATCCAGTCGATATCGGGTGTTCCCGAAAGCAGCCCAGTCGGTTCGATGAACGCGCTTCCCGAAACACACTTGCCGTTCGAACGCCGCTGCCCCATTTGACGTCCTTCGATTCCCGGAGGCGGCCGCTCCTCTCCTGTCCTCTTCCTGGGCAGGCCGCGCCGCGGGTGGGACAAGGACGGATGGGAGAGGGGGGGGGGCATTGCACAGCACGGGGTGGTGACCGCACCATCCGAAATCTACTTTGTGCTGCTCTTGTTTAATTTTCAGTGAGAGAGAAAGAGATGGAGTCTACCCCCTCCCTCCTTCTCTCTCTCTCTCTCTCTCCTCTCTCTCTCTCTCTCTCTCTCTCTCTCTCTCTCTCTCTCTCTCTCTCTGCTGGCGGCAGGAGAAATAATCGTATCGCAGGGCTTTTGTTGTTGGCGAAGGCCGAGGCAGGAGGCAAGACTCTCACTATGCAGAACAGTCAGGGGTTTGACCTGCTCCATAGCCTCGGGCGGTTGGATGGCCCGAGGGCCGGGCAGGGCCGGGCAGGGCAGGGCCGGTCCATCAATGGCTGGCCACGGCTGGCCAGCTTCCGCCAAAACGATTCGCGAGCACAGCGCACACCCTGGACGAAACGCAGATCGGGCCTGTCGTCGAGATTTTGGTTCCATAAACAAAAACAGGAACCTGAATTTGGAAAGTTAAATTATTGAGACTAGAAATTGACTGTTGAAATTATTGATTTTTTCTTCCATAACTTACGTGAATACATGAATTATTGAACCTTTTTAAAATGAAAGTAACACAAGAAGAAAATTATTTTCAAAATAAAATTCACCTGTGCCAATTTTGACGTTTTTAATTTCCTGTTTGGTGCCTTTAGGGACGGCCCCTCCGCCTAGGTAAATCAGTGCAGGCCCTTTTGCACCAGTTTCGGCGGTTGCGACCGGCCGGGGCGGGGCGGCCGGGGCGCGTCGTTATGTCATTGTTTCGCGTAACCTGTGCTGGAAGCGCTGGAAGCCTGCAAGTCTGCGCCCACGCAGCAAAGCAGCAAAATAGAAAAGGAAAGTCATTGTCGCCAGTGCGGCAGTAAATCTCCCTGGCGACGGCACGGTCAGGGACCAGCGAGGGCAGTCTTCGGACGGCGCTCCCTGTCTCACTCGCACCCCTGCGGCCCGCCCCGCGAGCGAGAGAGAGACCGGCTCGGCGCGGAGGCAGCGCGGGGAGGAGGAATAACCACCTCGCCGATGCAGTGCCGATGCGCGACGGCTCGCATTTTCGCGAAACGCAACAGCGGGGCGACGAACTGGTGCGCGAAAGCGGAGCAATGCAGAAAGAGAGAGAGACAGAGGGCGAGGTGAACGAGCACAATGCGCATTCAAGCACACTGCGATGTGGATGCAACAAGCAGTGCAAGTGGCGACAGCGTGGTGTAGGCGGCTGGGTGGTGGCGGATTCGCCGCTCTGTATCGCGTCGGCCAGCGGACACGTAGGATCTCGCTTCCTAACCCACATTTCGCGTGTGTACAGTCAGTGCTCTAGTGAGTACAGTCGGCCAAAGCAGCGCAAAGCAAGCGCGAGGCGTGCAGGCGGCGGTGGGCGGCTCGGCGCTGGGGCCTTATAATTACCAGAGTGGGGGAAGCGAGCCAGGCGAGCCGAGGGAAGGGGGAGCGGGAAAGGGGCCCAACGCAGCCCTCGCCTCTAATTGGTGGAGAGAGGTGTCCTCGAGGCATGGCGGGGCCGGGCGGGGCATGGTGTCAAACCCCTCTCCCGCTCCCAAGCGCCACGTGTTCTATCTGCTATTTAACACCTCCCTCGCCCCCTCATCTCATGCGTTGGTTGCTCTCTCTCAGTGGCCCAGCCTCTCACCCGGCCTCTCATGCCTTCGCTGCGCGCTTCGACACCACCACCACCTCCTCGCATAGTAATCACTTCCCTGTCCATGGCCACTGGAAAATGAAAATGAGGTCATGAAATTCTTCGCAAGCTGTCCGCCGCGGGTTTTCCGAGGTTTTTCATTCCACGACCCGACCGCCCCTTCGGTCCCATCGGCCCCTTCATAACTGTTTCTCCCTTTTCCCCTTCCCACCGCCTTTCCCTTCGAGTATTTTATTTCCCCGTCAGGTCTTCGAGTATCACCATCAAAAGGCCCCGGGGAACGGGATATCGGCTTCACAGTTTGCCCTTTTCTCCTGTTTTCCCGCCCTTTTTTTGCGGTCTTCTTTTCTCCCTCCCTTTTCGTCATCCTCTGCCAGACTGCTCCCGGTGGACGGGACCTCGTTGTTTTTCGCGATGATAATAAGACACACCTATAAAAACGAAAACGTCTTTTTAGTATTCAATAATCGACAAAAATTAGACCCGACCCACAAAAAGACGATAAAAAGAAAGAAGATTTTTGCAACGCGTGGGCAGAGGTGCTCTCTGCTGGCTACGCGTGCGGTGCGGAATCGCGTTCTCATTTTTCCGAACGCTTTTTAAAAATTTAAAAGGCGTAGCGTCTGCGGAACAACAACAACAACAACAACAACGGCAAGGCGAGGCGAGGCATCTCCGGCGCCGCTTTCGCCGCTTTTCAAAGAGCGCGCCAAGACGAGCGGGCTAATTTCCGGCGTGTATAATTGAATCGGGACGATTAGAAGGGCGGGGCTATGAGACACAGCCCGAGCCGAGCCGAGCCGAGCCGAGCCGAGTGGTGTGACTCCACTCGAGGCGCGTCCCGCTCGTCCTCACCTGAAAGCGCCTAGAAGCCCTGAAAGCCCTGCCGGGCTATACTCTCCAGTGGCGGGCGACGCAGGATTTAATTAATGCCACCGAGTGTACAGCAGCAGCTGCTGGCGGCAAAAAGGAGCGAAAAACGAGAAAGAAAAAAGGAAAACCTCGGTGAAAATTTGTCCGTTTCAAGGCGGTGAATGCCGGCGTTGCCATGGCGATGCCAGCGAGCGGTCCTGCCGGGCTGTTGGGCTGTTTGCGCTGCAAAGTGTCGCGCTAAATGGCCTCTCTATGTCTGAATCCGTCTCCGCTCCTCGCTGGCTCCTAGATGAAGCAGATTAATTAAAATCCGTGGCCCGCTGGCCGCCGCTGGCCCGGCCAGGACGGCTCGGTTGACGCCGCGCAGCGGGGCACGGCATCAGGAGGCTGGACGGATATTTAATGGGAAACTTTTGACGGCAAACGCCGCGTGCCACTTGGAAAATAATTATTCCGCGAAGCTGGAAGGTGAAATGTTTCGTGAGGTTTATAAGCCGAGCGCGGCGAGCGGGCCGACCGGAGAGGTGTACACTGGGCTGGAAACGACTGTGATGAGAGAGAGGGAGGGAGAGAGAGTGGTCCGTTTCAAAGGTGCAACTCCACGGCAGTCGTATTCCTCAACTCCAGCAGCCTCTTTTCAGTGTTCTGTCCAGTATCTTTCTCCAGCTCCGTGGGGCTTTATCCAGATCAGATCCAGCGTTGGTCCACCAGGTCCAGTGTCTTTGCCTCACCAGCCCCTTCTCCAGGCCCGGCGTCTTTGTCTCTGCAGAGCCTTCCCCGTCCAGCTGGACTTCAGGCCGAAGGGCGCCGGCCGCCCCTGACGAAAGACAAGAACCCTGGACAAGCAGCAGAGATGCCCCCGGAATAATTCCAGTGCATTAATATGCGATGTTCGCTTTATTTGCTTAATTCTGCAGAGTACGGCCTAACGAAG